CCCAGCCCTGCTCAGTGGGGAGCCTCAGGCAGCACAGACTCCTTCTTTATCTGGGCATGTGGGAAGTGTGGAGGGGCATGAAGGGCTCCCCAGCTCTGACATCTCATGCTCTAGGAGGACCACAGGCTTAGCCTCCACACTCCCTGTGAGAGCTAATGCTGCCCACAAAATCAGGAAGTGAGCTCTCCATCTCTGGGGGGAACCAACGAGGTGCTCAGCTGGGGCGTCACAGAGAAGACACCCGCCACATCCCTGGGGAAGACTACATGGTCTCTAAACTCACTTTCCACTCACAGGTTAATTCACATGGGCCATTTTTACTACTTCGTGTGTTTGCTCACTCAACTGATAACGACCAGGTGCCAGCACCTTATGTTTTGGGACACACAAGGCCCACAGGGCAGGCAACATACCGGCGACTGGGTGAGGGGCTCTGAGTGGGCTGCCCGGGTGCTGGGGCCAGCTTCACTTGCCAGTCACGTTACCTCCCGTAGCCTTGCTTTGCTTGTCTGCAAAATGGGATGACAGACAGAGTATCTGTCCACGAAGTTGTTGAGAGGAGTAAATGGGAAAATGTTAAAGTGCTTCCAACGGCGGCTGGCACGCAGATTTAAATTCCAGACTTTTTTTTTTTCTTTTGAGAGAGAGCCGGGGAGGAACAGAGAGAGTGAGAGAGAATCCCAAGCAGGCTCTGCACTGTCAGTGCAGAAACCCCACACAGGGCTCGAGTTCAGGGACCGTGAGATCATGACCTGAGCCGAGATCAAGAGGCTGACACTTAACCAACTGAGACACCCAGGTGCCCCTAAGCTCCGGACCTTTTTAAAGCCCCTTCTGGTCCTCGCTGTGGCCCCTCTGTTGAGTGGAGTTGGCCTCTGCTCCTCCCATTAGAACGAGAGCAACACTTACCTCCATGTTGGCCACATCCGAAAGAAGGTGATCTCCAGAGCCGGATGTGAGGGTACAGGCCCACAGCTCTTTAGCCCCGCCAGCCTCACTGTGCTCGGTGGGCTCCCGCTCTTGAGAAGGGAAGTGGAGAGACAGCCAAGGGCGTTCTCCTGCTGCCCTCTGATGAGTTCGTTCTCCACCGCCTGCATCATTTTAGTCACTCCCACCTTCTAGGTGCCTCTACCTGATCGCCCATCTGCACCCCGTTCTGGAGATCAGCTCTGGGGCTGCTACCCACCGGCCGTATGCGGCAGAGCAGGTCAGGGCCCTCCTCTGAGCCTCGGTGTTCCCCATCTGTGAAATGGGAAGAATAAAAGGACCCATCCTGCAGTGTTTTCAAATGAATGACATGAGGAGCCAGGGCAGAAACCATCTGAAATGTACTATGCCAGCCAAGACTCATTTCACTGTCCCAGCAACTCAGGGGAGTGTCCGCCCCCACTTCACAGGTGAGGGGACTGAGAGCAACCCAAAGAGTCAGCGCAATGGCCTCAGGCCACATCCTTGGCTTCCGTGACATGTGGGAGCCATCCTCGTGCAGGTCTGCCCCGTGTCAAACTGAGTCGGTTCTACCAGGGTTGGTAGTGGGGCAAATGAGTCACCTCCTCCTGGGGCATTTTCAGACAGGCCTCCCCATGTCTCCTCAGAGTCAGCCTTCATTGTGTACAAACCAAACACAGGAAATGGGTACAAAGGAAATGTCAAGGCCGTGGGGGCAGGGAGGCTGCGGGCTGAGAACAGGGCAGCTCGTGCTGGGTCTATCTCTGTGAGAAGCATCAAGAGCATCTCATCCAGCCCCAGGGTAGGACTGACTTGCCCATGGGTCTCTCCCTGAGACCTGGTGTCCCTCCTCTCTCCAGACCTCCCACCCCCATCTCTGCCTAGAGAAATTTCACTTACCTCCTTGTATGGCCCATTTCAAATGTCCTCTCTTCCAGGAAGCCCACTTGGAGTTATCCCATCCTTTCCTACAGGAAGTCAGCCTCTGAGTCTCTGAACCTTGGAAGTCTTGCACTTTACCTGCAAGAACACTAACACCCAACTCTCTTGAGCGCCTCCGTGCATGCCAGGCTCTTTCCTAAAACTGAACGGATTCACTCATTGAATCCCCATCGCCATCTTATGAAGGAGGTACTGTTATTACAGAACAGAGACTGAGGCCCAAAGGGCTTTAGTAACGCATTGTAGAGCACATCACTAATGAGTGCCAGAGCCAGGGTTTGAACCCACATCTCTGTTGGAGTGTGACGTATCTGTGTCATCCAGCCCCTCAGTAAATGTATTTGATTCATTCACTCGGCAAACTTTTTCCAAGGTCTCATTAAGTGCCAGGCCTCATGCTGGTTTTGTGGACAGGAGATGGATACCACCTCTGCCTTCATAGAGCTTATATTACAGTGTGATGGAATGAGGGATAAAAAAAAATCAATGAAGTCATTAATTAAGCAAGTAATTCAAGATGTCTGAAGACACATAATGACATATAATGCAAGGACAACAAAGAAACCAAACCAAAAACCAAAAGGACAAAGCTGGCATGCAACAGGGAACCTGCTTTAGCCAGGTAATCATGGAAGTCTTCTTGGAGGGGGTGACATTTGTAACAAGGTCCTGATGGATAAAGAGCAGCCAGCCTTGGAAAGGTTGGGGCCTGGGGCACAGAGTGGGCCTGGGGCATAAGGAACAGCATATGCAAAGGCATGGAGAGGGGAATGAGCTCAGAGAGTTGGGGAAAGAGGCAGCTGCTAAGTGTGGCTGCAGCAGGGGGGCAGGAGAGATGGGGCCAAAGAGCAGGACCGTGAAGACAAGGATGGAGGTGCAATCTTCGTCCCCAAGAAGGGGGACGCCATGGGCGGGTTTAAACAGGAGTAAAGGGGGGCGCCTGGGTGGCGCAGTCGGTTAAGCGTCCGACTTCAGCCAGGTCATGATCTCGCGGTCTGTGAGTTCGAGCCCCGCGTCAGGCTCTGGGCTGATGGCTCGGAGCCTGGAGCCTGTTTCCGATTCTGTGTCTCCCTCTCTCTCTGCCCCTCCCCCGTTCATGCTCTGTCTCTCTCTGTCCCAAAAATAAATAAAAAAACGTTGAAAAAAAAAAATTTAAACAGGAGTAAAGGGATCAATACACATTTCAAGGGAGAGTAGCTGAAGGACTAGACTCTGCCCTGATTAGATCAAGGCTCTTGGTCAAGGCTGGGTCAAGACGGGACCCGGTGCTTCCGGGTCAGCCTGCATCCCAGGCCAGCCCTGCTCAAGAGTTCAGCTGCTAACATTACCACAGGAAGCTAAGAGAGAGAGGTACCAGGCAATAAGCAGGAACCCCGCAGAAGTACCCTAGGGCAGTGGCCTCCCATGCCCTCCATGCGGGAGACACTGACCCTAGTCCAACCACAGAGCTAGAAGGCAAGCAGCCATCCATCCATCAAGCAGTCTGTCTGTCCATCTACCCATAAGCCCTCTGCAGCCTTGGGCCCGGAGCTGGTCTTCCAGCCCCCACCGGTGCTGAGCTGCTAAAATGTAACAACTGGCTCTCTGAGTATTGTTTGCACGCCAACACTGACGTTTTCCTTTACACCACCAAGACAAAAGTGAAATGACAAAGACATGTCAGAACCCCACTTGTCCATCAAGGTCATGAGTGGTGTTTTTTGCAGAACTGGACAATAGTCTTCAAATACTGGAATCCTTGCGGATTCTGATCATGGCTTTTGACACACTGCTGAAGGGGAGAACCATTTTCAGTCTTTTGTGCTATTCATGATGTAGTGACCACAGACACGACATTGGAACGAACGTGCCTGATTTACATTTCCTCCGCCCCCCGCCTTAACTCTAGCTAGACAGCCAACAAAAGGGCAACTCAGGGCCTGATCTGTAGCGTTTGCTGGTTTCTGTGGTGTAAGTATTCCATGTGGCCAGTGTCAGGATACAAGCATTGACCGTGGACTTGGGGCCACAGCTCAGCATCCTACGGTATTTCTGCCATACCAGAACCATAGGCGTCAGTAACCTCAGAAACACGATCAGTGTGCTGGGGCCGCTGTGACACAGCAGCACAGACTGGGCGACTTAAACAACAGAGATGTAACATCTCAGAGTTCTGGAGGCTAGAAGTCCAAGATCAAGGTCCCCGTAGGATTGGTTCCTCCTGCAGGCTGTGAGGGGGAACCTGTGGCATGCTCTCCCCTCACCTCTAGTGGTTCACTGGCCACTTTTGGCGTTTTCGGCTTTGAAGAAGCATCCCCCTGATCTCTGCCTTCACCTTCAGGAAGCATTCTCCCGATGTGTCTATATCCAAATGTCCCCTTTTATAAGACGCCGGTCATACGGAACTAGGGCCCACCCTACACACCTCATAATAACTCGATCACCACTGTAAAGACCCCATCTCCAGGTAAGGTCACATCCTGAGGCACTGAGAGGTAGGACTCTGCCATATGAATTGCAAGGAGGGACACAACTCAACCCTTAACAACGGATGTAGCAAAATGTGGCATAATAATTAGAAAGTAATACACATGTACATTTAATATATATTAAAAAATATTTTTTAAATTTTTTTAATGTTTATTTTTGAGGGGGGGGGCGGGGCAGAGACAGAGAGGGAGACACAGAATCCGAAGCAGGCTCCAGGTTCTGAGCTGTCAGCACAGAGCCCGACGCGGGCTTCAAACTCATGAACTGTGAGATAATGACCTGAGCTGAAGTCAGACGCTTAATGGACTGAGCCACCCGGGGGCCCCACGTGTGATTTAATTCTTAATAGTGGCTGTGTTTGACGATCAACTCCTACGAGCCCGT